GTGTGTGTGTGTGTGTGTGTGTGTGTGTGTGTGTGCGTATATATATATATCATATTAAGTCATACTGAATGTATTATTACAATCGAGGGGCTTTGCGTCGTGTGAATTATACATTGTAATTGAAGGAAGGTCTCGAATACGTTGGTTACATTTATGGGCTGAACATGGTGGAAAGCTCTAGTTTAAAACAATAATTTTACCGTGCGTTCACTCAATCGGGCCTCATTGTAGGATACTCCTGAAAGAAGGCGATTACGAAGACTGTGCCATTGAATACGGGTCAGCGGCAGAAGCCATGAGCAACTGTCAGAGAGAACTAAAGGCACTGCTGTCAAAGACGGGGTGAGTGTGTCACAGGCTACACGTTCGGCTGAGGTTCATAGACCTCACAAATTGGATACCCGTGACAAGATAAGGACGATATGAGCGCTACTAAGTGGCTACAATATGGCCTTATATGGAATCTAAGAAATTTGATTGGCTTGTGTTCGTATTGGAATCCCCTTGCATTGCTCTCGCTGTTCAATGCCGCTTTGTGTTACTTTTCGATGTCTGCCGTGCAATGTCCTTTCCTGCCGTGGTGGGTTGCTCGGTCAATTGTCATGCGTGCCCTATGCACTTTCTGCCAGCCACGTCTGGGTATCCATCAAACAAATGGCATATATTCACATCAGAAGTTTGTCAGTTTAAACGCGGCGTTGCTATAGTTACACTCGAGTTAGCGCCGTGAACAAACTGGCGTGCTATGTACCGCAGGCACGGATTCATTGAGCTGTTCCGACGCTGACTGTTTCACCCACAGCGCCGCCGTAAAGAACGAGCAGTGTCACAACGATCTACTTCATTTCGTACAAAACAAGATAATGAACGTGGACGCAGAACCCATCGTGCAAGCCATTGCCGAGCTGGAAGACTGTGCCATTGACCCGACCTCCACGTGTAGGTTCAATCGGTTTTGACTGTATTGATGCGATGTTTAATTTGTGTATGTGTTTAGTATTGAATTGGTGTATGGCCGTTTGAATAGCTGTATATATACTCAAAAAGGGTCTGGCGTGTTGAGTAACTCGACGGAGAGACGTAATTTACTATGTAGCCTCGCATCACCTGAGCTTGAATTAGGTCGTGACGGTTGAAGCGGTCTCGTTTTGCAAGCTATACACGTGAAGCCTGCACTGGCAATAGGGTGAGTGTGCCAATGTGTTCAATCTGATCTACATATAAATTGTATCGGTGGTTTGTAGGTTTTGTATATTTCTTTACCTCGGCATCTGCCAAACTGAATTGTCTGCATACTATTCGGTCGCCACTTGTGTGCGCTAAAAGTCGCATCGACCGCATTGATAGGTTTGGGCTTGCAATGTAGTCTTTCTTGAGCCGAATGTAGGGATACCATAGAGGTAGAAGAGATGTTAGAAATCGAGGTTTCAACGTTAGATAACCATCCCCTAGCCAACTCAGAGGCATCAACAGCTAATTTAATCATGCTCGCGTCGGCGTATTTGTAGACGAATTCTGTACACAGGGATTATGGACGAGTGTGCAAGAGGCGTACCCAGAAATCGAGAAGAACTTAGTCAAGGGACTGGGACAAAAACAACAGGGCACACTCACCAAATTCGGTATGTAATTGAATGTGTTTCTCGAGAGGGTATTATACACTCGCTACCTCTTGCTGTTAATCATGTACGATGGTAACGCTATAGTGCCTGAATGTGCCATGCGTGTAGGCTTGGCGTTTTCAAATTTTAACTCGTATCAAGTGATAGCAGCTTACAGCACTTGTCTATAGCACACAAATAGTGCAACAAAAGCTATCGCCTGGTCATTTCTCAGATATTTTAATATCGGAAGCCGAATACCTGTTGCAGTACATGATCCATGCATTAGTTCTTCAACGTCTGCCTCTACCGATGAATATAGGAGATACCTCACGAGAGTTGTATAGATGCATGGCGACGGCAGATCCTCTCAAAACCGCATTAAACGACGATGCTGTTTGGAAATCCCTGCAAGTACAGGTACGCTCGGGCATACATCGTGGCCCACAGTTTGGTCTGGCTTTGGTACATGCATCATGTTCAATAGTAGAGGCAGTGCAGTGGCATAGCTTTGCAATGAGCCATACATTGTTTTACTTGGATGGTAGGTGTTATTCGTATAATAGTTTTGCTATAAGGTTCGTTTAGTATTATATTTTGATTGCCAACGCAACGTCCGTTGTATCTGTCTGCAAAGACGCACACTCGCAGAGGGTCTCGGCCATCTCTCGTAAATGAGGCGAACCTCCATGAACTTTATGTGATTGCGCTGTGTATGCTTCTGAAACAAATACTTTTACATCGCCTTACAGACATTTAAAGTATTTTGGCGTGCTTGCTTTCTGTCGATTGTTTCTTAGTAGGATATCGAAAGCTGAGACGCTCCCACCGCTATACAAATAGCGGATACAAAACGGCGTGCACCATTGCAATCTAAAACACGAATGTCTGCAGATTGCGATAGTCCTGTGTATCAATACGTACTTTGAGTCACTTCTGTTGAGAGTTACGAATAGGAAATCACTAGATTTTTTTAATTTCTATTTTAATCACATTGTTTGTGCAGTTGCGGAGCATGATCGACGAGTTCCAAACAAATGTGAACTCCGTTGCAGATCTTCTGACCCCCGACATGCAGTCAGTCATGAAGGTCTTTTATCAGGTGTGTGTACGATTTTAAAAATCAGTACGGTCCAACATATGTTACTATTTTAGTGTGTGTTTATATATATGTGTATATGTGTGTGAGTGTGTGTGTGTGTGTGTGTGTGTCATATATATATATATATATATATATATATGTCTGTGTCTGTGTCTGTGTCTGTGTCTGTGCATGTATGTATA